ACCAGCTTTTGGTACCATTAAATCTTCTTTTGCTTCTGTCTTCAGAGCAAGTGGAGGAAGGGTTACCTTTTAGCTTCCAGATTCTTCTCCACTTCTCCACAGGTTCTCAGAAACGGTCCTGAGGGACTCGGAAATTGTTGTGACCCGGGAACTAGGAAGCTCTTCACGCATTTACCTTTTGGCAAGGCTTCCTTCAGTCCAGGTGGGTATTTTCCACTTAACCCTCAACCCGAATCATCTTTGCATTCGCTATTTCTGTTCCTGTTCTCGGTTCACTCAGGGGCAGGTGAAGGGGTTTAAAGACAGAATTTTTTTTTTTTAAGACAGAAATTTTAAAAGAGCGAACATCCTCAGTTTCATACAATCTTCACGAACAGGTTCGAAGGTCAATGTCGTTCTCTTCTGTCTTTGATTCCTGTTTCTGACTGTAAAGAATAACGCCCAGACAGGCTGGCCTAGGGCTGCTCTGGAGAGGTACGACTTTGTAAGCTGACAGGGAACCCAGAAGACGTCCTGGACGTGACCCAGCGACGCTCGCAAAGAGTGACGAATATATTTGACACTATTTCCAGCCTGATTAGGAAGTGAGGAAGAGAGGCGTCTGGTCCTCCCAGGGTGGTGTTTCTTATCAGCTCTGGGCAGAAGAGTGAGGCTGTCACCAGTGAGGTCTGAAAAGAGGGAAGATCCTATTAGCATCTAATCCAGCCCCACTGAGACAGTCCCCACCCCCCGCCAAATCTACTCTCCCCGCCAAAACACACACTCCACCAAACATCCATACTTCACGAAATGACATTCCTCAATATATACTAGTATAAGTACTTTTTAACGTCTACAAACACAGAGCTGTATTCCCTCCTACCCTCAAACAGCAGAGTGCACAACACACCGAAGTGTGTACTCATTCACATATCTATATGCTGCCCTCCCTCCCCACGCTGATACACACACACAAGTACACACAGAGACACACAAGAACTACACGCACAGTGTGGGAGTGAGCCGACGTCATCTTTCTAGAATACCTCAGCCCAGCCTCTGCCAGCAGAACGGCTTCACTCAACCTCAGCGTTCCACATGTGGTCAGGAAACTGAGAGGTAACCTTGGCAACCAAGCCAAGGCCTTGGAGGCCTAACAGGATGCTGGGAAAGAAGAACAAGCTGCTTCTGACTGGAGGGAGTGGAGAGCAAGGCCTGTGTGGTGACCCCACAGACAAGGCAGAGCTGAGGCCTGAGGAGAGGGACCTTGTCGTGGGTGGGGTTTTGGCCTGAGGAGGACAGTGTGGGGTTCTACGTGTTACTTTACAGTGGGCCACATAGGTGGGCCAGACAAGTGGGAGAGATGGGCATCCAGAATGAAGGGAGTCAGCGGGTCAGGATCACAGGGCAAAGAAATTTCTGGTCTAGAGGAGGCACAAGCTGATGTCCACTCCCACCCCCACCACTGCCTGCCTACTTGGCAATTGGTGGGGTCAGAGGTCAGCACCTGTGTCAGGGCAGTTCGTGTTCAAAATTCAACTCAAGGCCCTTGGGCGGAGTGGGGAGAAACGAATGAGGAGGAAGAGGAGCAGGAAGAAGGGGGAGGGAGGGAGAGACCCACTGTCCTATCTGATGCTCCAATTATACCTTGACTAGGCCAAGAAACGGGAGGCAGCATGCGACATGCAAAGGGAAGAAGTGAAACTTGGACTTTTGAGCTTCTAAGGTCCTTGGTCCTAGCAACTGAAGGGCAGTTTCAGAAAATTTAAAAAAATAATTTGGACAGCTATCATGTATTTGTGCTTATAAGAAGCTGACTGAGAATCTAGATCCTGGGTTGGGTACAATTACATTGCATAGTGACTTGGGAACGTTGAGTGTGGGATGAATTAAGCCTGCTCTCCCTAGGCTTGTGAGTAGAAAGGAAAGAGAATGAGGAAGGAGGGGGAGGAGGGAGTGAGAGTGCCTTCTGGTTCCTATGGATGTCCTATACAGAGTTCAGGAACTAATCACCAGTGAGGAGGCGAAGGCACATCTGGATAATGGGGGAGGGTCAGGGATAAGACCTCCTTGTTCCTTCCCCCCAAATGCACCCCGTTTTCCCCCAGTTTGTTGCACCATCACCTGGAATAACAGCTCTGTGGGACCATGTGGAACTATGGGCCATGCCCTAGTAACAACAGCACAGAGACTCCATGGGCCAATGACAAGGGCACCATATTTGAAGGCGGCAGATGTGGCTCTGGCTGTAGTGAGAACTAGCTGTGTGACCTGGTGAATGATACAAAAATCTACATAAGGACAGAGTTCTGTTTCCTATGGCAAAAAATATGAACGGTCTTGTCAAAAGAGTTTTTTTTTAATCAGTTCTGGACAAAAGCAAAGCCCAGATCACCCAACCCTTGTCAAAGACACACCCAGAGAGATGTTAAGTATTTTCAGACTTAAGTGCTGAACCGCCCTATATACCTGTCTCTACTTGGATCTGTTTCCCTGACTTCCTTGGTGGTTGTCCTCGGTCAGTCCTGGTCTGGGCTTCACCTGGTCTCCCTGGATGATACACTGTAGGTCTTCCTGTTTCCACTCCCAGCCCTGTTTTCTGGAACGAATAATTTTGCTCTCAGCAAGCAGAGGGAAGAGTCTCATCTGGCCTCATCCAGCTCTGGGGAGGAGCTGGTGAAGACACCATCTAAGAGATGAGCTCCAGGGCAGCTCGATGAGCTAGATGAAGCCGTGGAGCAGAGTATTTGAAATCCAAACTGTCCCAGACAAATGTAGGACAAATGAGCATAGTAACCTGTTTTCAAGCAGCCTGCAGACCGTTGTTGAGATGACATCCTCTAAAAATATCCCTACTAATACCAAACAATAGATTATAAATGCCGCGTAAGTGGTACAGATAACATTAATTCTGTAGAAGGAGAATGGTCCGTGCAGGTTTTCAGGGTGGAAGACCAAGTTTCAGATGTGCCTTCAGGAGGATGGGAGGGAGATTGGCAAGGTGGGAAGGAGGCAGTGAAGTGTCCAGGACATAGCAGCATGAGCCCCTGTGCAGCAGAGCCTGGTGCCTTCAGGCATCCCTGGAATGAGGGCCATGTTACAGAGTAGAGATGGGGTTCATGGGGAAAATGTTGAGGACTCTGGGCTGCAGAGCTGCTCTCATGTTAGACAACAGTGAGGAGAATGACCCTGGGGCACACAGTGGCAGAAACCTAAAAAGGTGGATGGGCCACATTATGAAAGATCTTAATAGCAGGCAAAGGAGTTCAGAATTAATGCAGAAGACAAATGGGGGTGGAAGGTGTTTTGGAACAATGTGAGCAAAAGAGCAAGTGAAGGCAGACTTTTGGGAATGCAGCTCTCCTAACAGTGGGAAGGGTCATTTGGGGATGGGATTTGACAAGTCTACTGCAATCATCTAGATATGAAGAAGTAACAGGTCTTGCAGCTGGATCTGAGGAGCAAAGCACAAGGAGAAGTCAAAAGTGAGTGTGAGTTTGTGAGTGCCTGGGGAAGCGATGGTATCTCCGACAGAAATGGACATCAGGACATCTCCAGGACTGGAGAAGACAGTGGGCTTGGACTGACATTAAGGTGGTGGCTGGACACCCAGGGGCGGGACAGAGCAGGTGATAGGAGCAGCAGGATGAAAGGACACAGACTACCCAGGCACAAGAGTCAGCTGTGAAAAAGTAAAACATCAGAGCGGACAATGTGAATAGGGTTTCTCTGAGGAAGGCAAGTGGAGAGAAAAGGGAGAGGTGTGAGGGGACACAGAGAGGGAACAAGGATGGGAGGGAAGCCAGAGCAGACACAGCTGAGGAAGAAGGCTGAGAAGCCTGGCATCAGGTACCCAGGAAAAGGAGGAGGGACTGCCTCCAGAGGTGGTCAGCAGGGCCCAGAGTTCAAGAAAAATAAGAATTGACAGAGGCCATTGGGTTTGATTCATTTAAAAATACATAAGGAGCATCTACTATGCCAAATGTCAGATGGGGTTAGGAGTTAGCCCCTTTGGAGGGGACATCTGCTGAGTGCCTATGATGGTCCCAGGCCCTGAACACAGTCCTGTGTGTGGACCCTGGAGATTGACACTGAGTTCTTTCTCCCAGGAGCCTGTGTTTACAAAAGTTTCAATCCACACTGAGAAAGAATGGGAGAGAGAGGGCTGAGGGACGAGGGGAGATGGAGGAAGAGGGAGTAGATGGGAAAATGTGTGCGGTTCAGAGCAGACCACTCATTTAAAAATTCTGGCATTTAAAGGAAAGCGAGAGCTAGGAAGACAACTTGAGGGGACAGAAAAGTCTTACAACACTGCCCCCACCCCTACCATCAAATAGGGAACACTTGGATGCTACCAGGCAAGAGAAAAGGCATTGGTGTAGAGGAAGGGCAGAACTTGTCTGGCGGAGGTGGGATTATTGTTGAAGTAAAAGGAAAACTTAGTCCCCATTTCCGAGGAGCCTGGAGACACCTGTTTAACAAACACGGCAAAACGGTAAAATGGTGACAAAGCGTCCGGGTGAGTGGTTCTGACAGTGGGGATTGGAAAATGTGAGAGCCAGAAAAGGGATCGAGTGGGAGAGGTGACATCAGCAAAGGAAGGCTTCCTGGAGGAGGTGGCCGGTGACCAAAGTCTTGAAGGACCGGCGGAGAGGAGAGATCCAGGCATTCCCAGCGCGGAGCGGACTGGGCGCAGCTTTCCTCCGCCGAAAGCCTTCAGTGCCCTCCCCGGCTCCCCTTTTTCTCCCCGCGCCACCCTTCGCCAGCAAGCCCGGATCGGGTTCCCAGCACTGACGTCAGCCGGCGATGACCTCAGCGCCGAGGAGGCGGCGGGGGCGGGGGCGGGGCGGGGGACTAGCGGCTAGGCCTGGCCCGGCTCGGAGCGCGCGGGGCGGGGCAGGCATCCGGCCCCGCCCCCATCCGCCGGCGGTAGCCAATCGGTGTCGCCGCGGGCTCCCCCGCCTCTCGGAACGGTATGAAAGGCGCGTCCCGGGCGAAGTCCGGGCAGAGCCCGAGCAGCGGCCCGGCGAGCGGAGAACCTCTGGTAGGCGGCACGTCCCATCGGCGACCCCTCACTGCTCCCCGCCGCTGCTACCTCCGTCCGAACTGCGCACGACATGAGCCAGGCCCGCTGGACCGGGAAGAGAACAGACATGCTCCCGGAGATCGCCGCTGCAGTGGGCTTCCTCTCCAGCCTCCTGAGGACCCGGGGCTGCGTGAGCGAGCAGAGACTAAAGGTTTTCAGCGGGGCTCTCCAGGAGGCACTAACAGGTGAGCCCCGCCGAGGATCCTGGCTTCCGTCGAGCCCTGCCACTGGGGTTCGGCCCCGCCTTCCTGCCTAGTCCGTCTTTCCTCTCCTCTTAGGGCAGGGCTCCCCTCGCGAGCAGCACCGGCCCGCATCGCCGCGTTCACCTGGGTCGTGTCTCTCCTGCGCGGCCCTGCGCTCGGGTCTCGATGGATGATGGCTCTGGTGGGGCGCGTTCCTCCACACAGACCCTTGTCCTGGAGTGCGAGCCCAGGCCCCGGCTTCTGTCCCGGGAGAGGAGGCACCTGCGGGCCTGAGTGCAAGCTCATTCCCCTTACTGAGACTTTCCAGGGGCGCTGGGGGCGAGCCAGCCCAGCCAGCCATGGGCTAGTTATGGGGGAAGAAGGCACAGCTGACCCTTCTCAACAACTTGGATCCTCATCGTGGTTCTTCAGGCGGCGCAGGGCTGCGTGTTCCCTGGGCGGGTTGTTGCCTCGTTCGAAGTTGGAATCCCGGCCCCATTTGTATGCTTTGGCTCCCCTTAGCCATCTGCCACCCATTATGGTACTGAGAAAGCCTTGTAGGTAGTAACTGCGCTCTGCGGGCGTGTGTGCTGGGGCGGGGGCGGCCTGACAGGCGAGGTTGACAAGAGATAAGCCCCGGCTGCCTGGGGAGAGACCTATCTCCCAGCTGTTTCTAGACGGTTAGCCCCGAGTCTCCAGCAGAGATAGCCATCTTCAAACGTGCCCACACAGATCCTACCTCCCGAGGAGCAACATCCATTTCATCAAAAACAACTGGGTTTTCACTCCTCTCACCGCTGCCAGAAGGTCTCTGGCTTTTGTAGGAGGCAGAGGGGGCCTCTGGGGCCCAGGGTGGGAGACACAGTGACTTGCTGTGGGTCTGACAATGAGGGCCGCCTTGCTGGCCTTGCAGCTTCAGCTCATAGGTCTCCAGAGGCCCTGCCTGGACATGTCCTCCCCAGGCTCACCCCTCCTTCTTAAACAGAGAGAGTGCCAAAAGCAATACACTAGCTACTTGGGATGGCCCCGGAGCTGTGGGACTCCCTTCCCATACACCCTCACATCCTTGTCCTAGAAGAAGTGAGGGGGGAAAATCCCGTAACGTTCTCTGCTTCAGTGGCCAGAGGATTTCAGGAGGGTCCTGGAACTCCTGAGAAACCACATTGCTCACTTACAATCTCTGGGTTCCTTCCTCTACTCCTGTCTCTTCATCCCCATCCCCCCTTGCGGTAGCCTTCACAGCCCGGCTGCTCTAACCAGGGCATCTCCCTCTTGTTCCATCCCCGCAGAGCACTACAAACACCACTGGTTTCCTGAAAAGCCGTCCAAGGGCTCCGGCTACCGTTGCATCCGCATCAACCACAAGATGGACCCCATCATCAGCAAGGTGGCCGGCCGGATCGGACTCAGCCAGCCCCAGCTGCACCAGCTGCTACCCAGCGAGCTGACCCTGTGGGTGGACCCCTACGAGGTGTCCTACCGCATCGGGGAGGATGGCTCCATCTGTGTCCTGTACGAGGAGGCCCCGGTGGCTGCCTCATACGGACTCCTCACCTGCAAGAACCAAATGATGCTGGGCCGGAGCAGCCCCTCGAAGAACTACGTGATGGCGGTCTCCAGTTAGGGTCCCCCGCCGCCCCCGCCAGGCACGCTACTGTACTCATTCTGCCGTGACAACAGGCCACCGCATACCTCAACCTGGGGAACTATTTTAAATGAAGAGCTATTTATATATATATATAAATATATATTTTTTTTTTAAGAAAAGGGGAGAAAAAAAAAACCAAAAGATTTTTTTAAAGAAAAATCCTTAAAGGGAGCTGCTCAGAAGTGGCCTCCCCAGGTGCCTTTGGAGAGAACTGTTGTGTGCGCTTGAGTCTGGGACCCAGTGCCTGCCTACGGGAGGGGGCGAGTCATGAGGGGGCGGGCCTGGCAGGGGTGAGGTGGGAGAAGCTTGGCTGGCCCCCCAGGAAGATGTGAGAAGGGAGCAAGCAAGGTTAGCAACTGTGAATGAGAGTGGCCAGGATCTGGCGTGCAGCAGGGAGAAGAGAGGCTGAGTTCAGACCTCTCGCTCTTCAGAGCAGGATACCTGCCTGCACCCCTGGGCCCTCTCCTCCTCAGGGGCATTCAAGCCTGGATTTCAATTATGCTATGTTGCCTAATCTTCTATTTTTCCGGGGAGATCTAGGGCAGAAAGTGAAAAGTCCTCTCCCAGTTGCTTCTATCCTAAGCAGCTTTTCTCGAAATCATGACTTGTTTCTGATTCTACACTCAGGGGCCTGTAGATGTTGCTTCTCAGGCAGGAAACAAAAAGCTTTTTGTTTTGTGGGGGTCGTGGGGGGGTAAGGCAGGAGTTAGAGGTTATTGGGGTTAGGACGGAAGGGTACCTTGCACAAAACCTTGGCTTTGCTATGTGCTGCTCTGTGCGGGGGTGAATAACTTGGGGGTGGTTTGCAATGGAATTTTGGGACCCAAAGAGTATCCACTTGGGGATATTTGTTTTTGGCCAAACCCTTTGTTTGGAACCACACGAAACTCCTGATGCTGCCGCCACTACCCCTTTGAAAGCTGACTCAAAAGCTACGGGGAACTCCAGGTTCTTTATTACTGCCTTCTTTTGCAAAGCACAACACTCCTCCCTGACTCTCCCGCTCTTGTCCCCTTCTGGTTGGGTCATGGAGCCGCCCAACTTTCCAGAACAAGAGCTCTCACTCACTGTGCAATATGGCCTCCTGGGTCCCAGGAGAGTCTGAAGGGGAACTGCTTCCCGGAATCCCCTGGTGCCCTGGAGGACTTAGGGAACTCTCCCTCCTCCCTCCATGCTTGGGACTCTGGCTGGCTGGTCAGCCTTGTAGGTGTTCCTTGGCTGAATGGGAGGCCCCAAGTCCTGCAACTACTTGGTATTCGTGTAGGGCTGACACTAAAAGCCACAATCCTGGGCACTGCTTTTTTTTGTTTGTTTTTTTTTTGTTTTTTTCTCCCCCTTCTGTGGTGCTCAGAGCACCCGTGGGGAAGTTGCTGTCTCAGTACAATCCAAGTTTGTCTCTAGACTTGTGCAATATTTACTGTTCTGGGTTGGAGCCCATGGAAGTCCATACTGGGAAGAAACCCTTCCTACGGTTTTTCAGTGACATTAGTGAGGAGTCCCTCAGAAGGCCTTGAGTTTTCCAACCCCGAATCACTTTAGAAGGGTGTAGCTACAGCATCTGGTCGACCTGGCTCCCCTCCTACAACAGCCTACCTGGCTGTTGCCCCTTAGTGAGGAACTTTTCTCCCTAACCATCCCCTACCCCAGGGGTCCCTGCTCCACAGCCAGTCCCCTTCCCTGGATTCCTGAACTAGTCAGTCCTGACACAAAGGTGCTATTTACCAAACACTCTCCCTCCCCGCCGCCCCATTCCTGCCAATTCTGCCCCCTTTTCAACTCTAGACTCCAAGCTGCCTTCCCAGACCCTGCTTCCAGCCTTTCTTGCTTTAAAGGTAACTTCAGGCCTGCAGACCCAAGAGCTCCTTTTCTGGCCTGTGGGTAGAAACGAAGCTGTGAATCCCCACAGACTGTGGTGTTGCCTCTTGTCTACAAACAGGCCCCTGCCTTTTTAAAAGCAGCCTCAGGGTCTCGTGCTTCATCTTCTCTCGGGTTTGTTTTTGGTTTTTTTTTATGTTCACTTTAAAAACAGCAAAACACCCAGAGCTGGACTGTTGAGCAGGCCTGTCTCTCCTATGAAGTAAAAATAATAGTCATACATTTGTAAGCTATATTCTGACAGAAAAATCAAAGGTTACTAATTGTATAATAGTGTTTTTATATGGAAGAATGTACAGCTTTATGGACAAATGTACGCTTTTTTGTTGTTGTTGTTACTTTAATAAAAATGTAGCAGTTGAAGCCGTGTGGTTTAAAGAAGGTCACATTCCCACATCACTGAGCCTTTCCCTTGAATCCAAATCCTTTCTTGGTGTCTCAGTGTTTCCCTTCAGCGACCCCCGAAGGCCTATAGCATGTGGCTTGTATAAAAGAAAAATCTAGTTGTGTGACTCCTTCCTCCGTCCTTTAATGCATATTCTCACTTCCCTGTGACCCTGCTGGACGGGCCCGGGTTCTAGACTGCACTCCCGGAGTCTGGCCAGGTCTCCTGCATCTGTTCTTGCTGGGCCTCGGCTGTGCTCACACATTTGCTCATTCAGCACGTGTGACCTGTCCGTCCACACGAGGCACGGAAAATATTACACGTGATTGGGACTCATAACCCGAGTCTCAGGCTGAGATGGTAGAGCCGGGGACCCCGCACCCCTTCCCGGGCTGGGGCAGAATTGTCAGAAAGTTCCAGGTCCAGGCTCTGTCATCTCAGGACGGCCATTTGGTACCTCCGTTCCTGTTAGACAAGAACAGCTGGGCTGCAGTATCTGGGGCCTGCAGACCAAGGCTATACCAGTTGCTAAAGAGCAGCTACTCCCGAGAGCAAAGATTTGTTACCAATTTATTACTCCCCGGGCCGTGTGGATCAGACATATGCAAGGAAATAAGAGCAGCCTTCACCATCCCGGACTCCTGTGTTCTGTCCATGAGGCTTGACACAGGCTTCAGCACCCCCCACCCCACTTAGGAGCTCAGCATTTCCCACGGAGATCACAAGGACATCATGGACCTGGGCTAGTTTGTTTGTTTGTTTGTTTGTTTCCCTAGCCAGCCGTGGGCTGTATTTAAATTAAATTTTAAACATATTGATTCATGAAAAGAAACCCACCCATCAACACACGCTTCATTTCACACCTCCATGATCCTCGTCAATGAATTTGTGGTTGACCGAGGTGTCCTAGATGGCCGGGGGACCGGAGAGGCTGTGTATGGTACAGTGGGAGGGTAGAGGAGGCAGGAGATGGGGCTGGGGGAAGCCGGCTCATCTGTCTCACAGATAGACTTGATTATAGGGACCCACTTGTGTCAAGAGGTTATTTGAAGGAATGGTCGCATTTTCGTCGGTAGCTTCGAACACAAATGTCCTAGGCACTCGTTTGTAAGGACCCGCCTTGAGGGATGTAAGGAAAGGGTTAGGGTTGCATTTTTGTCTATCCCGCTGTGTTATTCTTGTGCACCTATCTTCTTGTCTCCTAAGAGGCTCCACTCATGAAGGAGATTTCATTGTGTTCCTACTTCTAGCAGAAAGCCTGAAAGGGAGGGTGATCTGGAGGCCAAGGGGACATATCATCACCCACTTGTCTCCAAGCCAGGGTGACTTCAGAATGGCAGACAGGTCTGGGGGCTGTTCGTGACTCCTGGTAGCCTGACAGTCCCTCAGCAGACATGGGAGTGTTCTGTGACCAAGCACGGTCTTCTTTACTGTAGATCTGGCCCATTTCAGCAGGGGCGGTGAGTACCCCTTGGCCAGCTGGGGTCCAGGGGCTGTGGACCGGAGCAAACAGTTTGAGGAGTTGTAGCTGATGGGTCGCCTGTGTTCAGGGACTGGGCGTTGCTCGGTCCACTCTGCTCCCCGTTTCCCCACTTGGTACACCTCGCCCTCCTGGGAGACCTGTGCTCGGTCAGCTGTTTCTGGATGATATCACACTGTCCAGAGAGTGTAGATGGGGCCTGGGAGCTGCGGATTAAGAGCCCATCCCAGATTCTGATAAGGACATGTGGGTGGGGGAGGCTTTGATGCTTCAACAAGCAAGCCCAGGGGGAAGAAAGCCTCCCCTGCGAGTCTGACATCGCCTCTGGAACAGCCTCTCATAAGCAAAGGCACTGAGGGCCTCCTGGCTTCCAGGGCCACACTGGCCCGGAGGCCCAGTGTAGCAGGATGCCGCGGAAGGAGTTCTGCACCGGGGAGGGAGAATAGATGGGTTGTAGCTCAGGTTCTTCCTAATGAGCTGCGTGAACTTGGACAAGCCCCTCAATTTTCCTCTCAGAAATTAGGGAGTTGGATTAGATGACCTCTGTTTCTTTCTTTGGCTTTTGATTCTAAATCATCTCCATTATCCTAGCAATCACGGAGGGCAAATGAGCCCAATTATGATCATTATTTTCAATTAGATGAACTGGAAGGTCACTTGGGTTGGGACATGGAGAAATACACCTCCCCTTGCTTGACTCTGACTCTGGCCTGTGATAAGGTTTCGATGTCATGCACAGCGAGACAGTGCTGCGGAGGTCAGCAGCTCAGGTAGTGGGGTGAGGTTGTTGGGGGTCTGATCTCACCTCTACTGCCCAGCTCCTGGCCCTGCCACCTGGAGCAAGTTATTTCACCCGGCCTCCATTTCCCCAACTGTAAAATGGGAGTAAGGATAGAACCATCTCAAATGTTGAGAAGGATTAAATGAGGTCTAAACCACTTAGAGTAGCTCTTGGCATATTTAAGTACCCTACAGGAGAATTGTAGTTTTAAGGAGAAGTTAATCTGAATTGGGAGATGAATAAGGACACTCTGACATTCTGGTAACCAGGAGGAAACCATGTATTTAAGGAGTATTTCTATTAGAGTCTTCCTGGAGGGTGGCAGTTAACAACATTGGAGCAGCCTTTGGCCTCCCCCACTGAAAGATGATTTTCAATCCTTTGCTGAAAAGTCTTCACAGCCCAGGGGCACCTGTCTGGCTCAGTCAGTAGAGCATGTGGCTTTTCATCTCCAAGTCGTGAGTTCAAGTTCCACCCTGGGTGTGGAGCCTACTTAAAATAAAAAAAAAACAAACAAACAAGTCTTCAGAGTCCAAGAACCCTTCCTGATATCATGGAACCCAGAGGACATACTCCCTAAGTCTATGCAGAACGAATGAATGCACTCATACCTGACCTCTGCCATTCTTGCCCAAATGTACCATGTCCTTCCCGCCAGACATTTGACCATATTAGGAGGAGGGGAGCTCTGACCTCTTGGCTCCGTGAGCTGCTTATGGATTAATACCAAACTGGGCTCTGTGCTCATTCACACACACGGTGGGTGGGGAGACGGATTTTCCAATAACAACTTTGCTTATCTCCATCCTGCCCACGGTGGAATCACACCCACGCGTTCCTTCCGGGAAGAGAGAGAAATGGGGAAGCTGACAAGGGCAAGCCTGGTGAGTTCTGGAGAGTTCTGGTTTTCCCTCTGTACCACTTTTTTGCAGAGCTGGCATGAAAAACATCTGAACTCAGTCTAAGAAGCTATCGGGACCCCGGATAATGATCTTACACAAACAAGCGTGCTGAGATGGGTTGTCTGTCCTTTTCATGGCTTTGACAGGGGTCTGCTGCTCTGGGCACCCACAGCTCCAAGTCATTTTGCTCCCACTTGAAGTGGCTCTCCCACTCTCCACCCCTGTTCCCATAAACGAGGGCAGGCCTTTATTCAACCCTTGTCCAGCAAACCTGTTGGACTGCCCAGAGCACATCAGATAAGGCGATGTTATAGCTGGGCAGGTTGGAGCAAGGGCTACTTTCTATGCCCACACCGGCAGGGAGGAGCTGTTTAAACTTCGGTGGGCACCAGAGGAGCGAAGGTATGGCCAGGCCGGCAGTGAAGAAGGACAGCGGGACAGAGATTGCCGTGAACACAGAGAGTGAGCTCAGGCTTTGTCTGAAAAGGATCCTGCCCTTTAGCTGTAGTCTGCTGTGCTCCTGGGAGACCCGTGATACCAGACGCTGTGATTTTTCAAGAGAAATATGAAATAGAGACTTTTATTTCACATCTACTTAAGTTCTAACGATGACAACTGATTTTTTTTTTTTAAGTGGTAAACTGCTTTTAAGTACTCATTTGCCTAGGCTTCCCATTTGTGACTTGTGATGTGTCTTAGACCACTGGGATGGGGGGCGGGGGGAGGTAGGGCTTTCTGACCCCAGCCCCCATACTAGGATGAGGCCATGCATTGAGGACATCAATGGCACACCGTCACCATGGCCATGATCTCTTGAAGGAACTTCCTAGCATGTTCTGGATAGGACCGAGGGCATACATGGGGCCTCTGCTTACCCTCCAAGGATTAGATTAAAAGCAGTTCAGCCCACCCTCAGCTGGTGCCCATTAACTCAGGCCTCTCAGTCTTTGCTCCAGGAATATTCTGACTCCTCCTACCTACCTACTTTGGTTAACTCTCATCTCTCAAGCTTTAGATCTTCTCTTCCAGCTTTTCAATGACATTGTCCCTTCCCATGCTACCCAGTTTTTTCCTCTGTCCTAGTCCTTATAACCCTGAATTTACTGCTATAATGCTTGCCCGGGACCTTCCCTGAGCATTGTCTGGTGCTTAGTAGGTATTAGTGAATTTTGGTTGAACAGGTGAATGTTAAAGTTGCCAAGAGTGGAGGCTAATTGATGAAAGGAATTTGGGGGAGGAGTGGAAGAAAAAAAATCAAGTCCATTTAGGGTGTGCCAGCCAGGGGTCCCAGCTCAGAATGGCTAACTTGTGATCTCACCTTCTTAAGAAAACAATCCTTTGAATCTTGCAGGCTCTTAGGTCTCTAAGCACCTGCTATTGAAATGTAAATGTTACTTAGAGAGGGGTGGACACACTTTAAATCATAATGTAGGGGAACCTCAGTTATCAATTAACTCCCTAAAGTGGGTTTACCCAGAAGGTAATCACCTGGACAGAAGGCTGGGCTATGACGTGTGGGGAAGGAATTCTGACCGCGGTAGCAGGATAGGGAGAACTCACTTCAGAGATACTGAATACTGCTCCTGTCCACAGAAATCCTTCCCAATGTCTACTTTGGAGGCCAGCTGCCAGGTGGTAGAAACACCCCCGGTCTTAAGAGTTGGGAAATAGGGGCCCTAGCTTTAGGTCTGACAAAGACTAGTACTAGATTAGTCTTTGGCATTTTAGACTAATCTCTTCCCTCTTCTGAGCCTCCGTTTTCTCATCTGTAAAATGAGTCACTCGTGCTGAATCACCTCTCACCAGCCAATTTCCATTTTCTAACAGAACAGGAAAATCTCGGATTCCTCTGTGCTGTGTACTCCCAGGTCCTACCATGTCACACTTGAGATAACACAACAGCCTTCCACCCACCTCCCTACCGGGCCCAGCCAGCAGCCCGGGGCCACTGAAAACTTCGTTTTCCTCAAGCCATTCCCTTTCTGCTGCCTTCCTTTGCCGTTTTGAGTGTCCAAGATGGGGATACAAGACTCTCCCAATCTTTCCAACCCCAGACACCCTGGGAAGCGGCCTCACAACGCCAGGACCCCCTACCTTCTCAATTCTCTGCTTCTTACCTTTACTCAAGCCATGACCACATCTCCAAGTCTCTCTACCCTGCCAGTTACAGCGGCCACAAACCACTTGTCTAAGTACTCTGACATACTTTCCTCTAGGACAGGAGCCGGTGCTGGGCACTGAACACTGGCTGTTCCCACGCACTCTGCCGGGGGCCGTACACAAAGCCTCTCCCCTGTGGCCTCCACAAGCACCCTGGGAGATGCTTCAGGCTCAGGCTCACAGACAAAGGAGGCAAAGCACCAGTAAGGAGAGGGGGCGGTGGTGGAAACAGATTTATCTGGATGTGTCTGTCTCCAGAGTCCATGCTTTTTCCCCCTTCACCTGCCACCTCTCTGAGATGTGTTCCCTGAATAACTCCACTGAGCTCTTGAAAAACAGTCTCACCTTGAGGCTTTTCAACACTGATACCTATGGTTTAAAAGTGCTTACACTTTCACAATACATTCCTTATTCCAGGACCTCTTAATGATGTACACACATCACTTATTACTGTTTACATCCGGATAACAAACACGGTCAGCACATCTCCACGCATGGCTTGGGGATGATGTCTGGAGGCTTTGCAAGCTCAAGTCCCCTCTCCAACTGTCAGCACACACGCCCCCCTGGGAGGGACACTTGCCTTCTATTTCTCCTCACACCCCCGTGTGCGGCCCACGTCTCGGGGTGTGCAGTCTGAGGGCGCTGGCCCTTGAGTGAAAGGCTGTGGTTGAGTAAACTGTGTCTGACCCTCAGGTGGCTGTGGGGCCCATGCCTTCTCACCGCCCCCTTCCACTCTTCCCACTCCAGACTGCAGGAAGGAAGGTGCCCACTCTGGGAGTTTCCTAAGAGGGGGTGAGGGAGCCCCCGTGGGCTGGAGCCCCTGCGGTCCCACGTGGCTCCCAGCTCATGGTCTGCACTCCAGCCAGCGTGTTCTTGGGCCCATGCTGGTGGTAGGGCTTGCCTGGCTCTCCGGAGTCCAGTCTGTTCCACCCAGAGCCACAGCCACTTGAAGTCGAGAGCAGTGAGTTGGCAGAGACCAAGGCAGATCTAGATAAGGCTGGAAATACATGGAGACTTTTCTTTGGAATAGGCTTTCACAGGACGTGGGCGGCTACCTTGGTTAAGGGTTCTATCTTCCCACGGGGATGGACTCCGTTGGAAAGGGAGGAGACCACGGGAGGTGGGGGTGGAGTGGGGTGGAGAGGGGCAGAGGCAAAGCCTTCTGAGCCTTCTCTTCTTTATGGGTGTTCTTGCCCTGGTTCTAGGAAAGCTGGCTCTGGAGGGGACGATCCCTTTACGGGGATTGGTGGGGGAGGGGAGGACGGACGGCGCGGCAGTGGCAGTGACCTTGCGTTTGAGCAACTCAGCGGCTCTTTCTCAGCAGCCAGTGGGGGCCAGAAGTGCAACTAAGCACCTGAGCACGCCCCACCCCCAGTTCCTCACAGGCCCAACTCCTCTGGCAAACTCTTTCTTCTTTCGGGTGGAGGTCCCCCTGCCAGCTGCCCTCTCCTCCAGGTGTTTCCTGTGGGCCCTTTGTTTGCCCGCAGGGTAGCTGAGGGCGGGGGCGGCGGGGGGCGGGGGAGGGGCGTCTCTTTGGGCCTCCTGTTAACCAATGTCTGCCTGCGGAGGGGAAGCCGGGGCTCCTGTATCTGGGGAGAACCGACCACAAGCAGCAGCTGCCTCCCAACACCTGCCCCGCTGCGAGTCTGTAAACAGTGCCGGGCCCAGGAGGCTTCCTCCGCAGAGCAGGGAGGAGGGGGGCGTGGCGTGGCGGGGTGTGTGTGTGTGTGTGTGTGTGTGTGTGTGTGTGTGTGTGTATGTGTATGCATGCGCGCGCGCGTTGGGTCAGACCAAAGGGGGTCATTTCCCAAATGAATTGTCCAGAAGCTTCCCACCCCAGTTCTCCTTTCCCCAGAGGAGGAGTCAAGGCCTAAAGTGTGGGTCACCCCAGGAACCTCAGGGCAAAGGACTCTAATCCCTACTGGACAAGCCCAGGCGGTACTGGGTCACCCTCTGCTGTCCACCTGCCACGAAATGGATGGCATTGCTTCTCGAGGGGAAAGCCAAGAGCAGCCAGGTAGAGCTGAAATAACTGCCCACCCCATCTTCACCAAGCCCTCTCCCCAGCACCCCCAGCAACCCCTCAGCACTCCCACCCCCAGCCGGTTGGTGCAAAGCCACATGCTGTCTTGGGTTTCTCGCTGGCCTCTCTTCTCGGGAAGGTGGGCCTTATTTGTGGTTCAGATTTCTCAATTTCGGCTTAAATAATCCAGTCATCTGGATGATTATTTCATTTATGTCTCCCTGTCAGGTTATTGGCCCCTGGGGAGCTAGGCTGTTTGGCTGCTACATTTTATCTCCAGCACTTGCACGGGGCCCTGGCACATGGTGGGCTCACTACAATACTGCAAATGAATGAAGGGATGTTCCCTTTCTCATCCCTTTCTGTCTTTATGTTTGTGGTGGGCCAACAGAATAACAATAATAGCACCAGCGAACATTCATTGTGTTCATAATCTCGTTAAATCCTCAGAAACCCAGGCACTGATATTATTACTGTTTAACTAGAGAAGAGGAGACCAAGGCTCTGGAAGGTGAAGCCCGGGATCTACAGGTGTACCGCTACCGAGTGGTGAGGCCAAGTTCAAATCCAGAATGAGAAATGAGAAACAAGAAGAAAAATGAAGCCACAACTGGACCCATGGCTTCTTCTAATTCTTCCTGCCCTCCCTCAGTGCTCTGGTCTGCTGGACTCCAGGAACTTCTACACCAGGCCACAGTTCACATTACAGAAAGTCAAAAAAGATCAGAAAGTCTGGGATCTCCATCTTCCACATCTTTTAAGTTCAAGCTCGGGTTGTCTCTCCTCTATGAAATCCTTGCCATTTGTCCTGAAGTAACTTTACAAAAACCTTCTGAACTCTCAAAGGAAGGAGTTGCTGCTCCCTCCCTCCCCAACTCCCAGGTAGGGTTTTGTGTCCATATGTCTTCCATGAATTTTCTTTTTTGTTTATGTATATTTCCAATCGACTATAAGCCCCTAGAGATCACCTCTGAATAACATCTGGGTCTAATACAGTACCTGGGTCTGAATCTGACAGCAAGAGGGCTGGGGGACAAGGTCTTCTGTTCTAGGCACTCACGTGACCAGCCCCTCCTCTGCCCTTTGTGTCTTTCCAGTTGGAGACATCTCAATCCAGTAGGAAAGAACCAACCAGATGGATTGCTTCATCCCTCGCTGCTGATTTCCCAGCCCTGGTGCAAAACACAGGAACTCCCTCTGTTCATTGTGACCCACTTCCTTTCTTCCCTGGGCCTGCCAGGGTGGAGGCTTAGGTCCCAGTGGCTTCTTTTGTTTTTCCAAAAGGCAAACAACCTCCCTGTCATCGTTGCTGCTTGACCAAGAGACTTTCCCCGTGTCACCTCCCAGGTGGGGAAAACAAAAAATGGAACGCTGAGGGCATTGTGGGATGAGATTCAAAGACAAGATGGAACAGGACATACATGCACTTGTTAAAATTATAGTATTATTGGAAGGTGAGGGATTGGAGTGGATTGACGCTGAGCTTGGAGTCCAGGGTCTATATCTGGAGTCTAGCACAGGGCCAGCTGTGTGCGATGACTTGGAAGACCTTTTCTCTTGGTTGAGTGGCAGCTTTTGGTCTGCCCTTTGATGCCCTAAGATGGGTCCTTGGGAGATGCCTAGGGTTGGGGGAGGGCAGAGATGAGGAAATAAAGTTTTTGTCCTCAGGGTATCACCAGTGCAAAGGAGGTGATGGGATAATTACATACGAGATTAAATGGAAATGACACAGAACGATGCATGACACAGAAGTACGTGCCCAGATGGTTGTTAGACACATGGAAATGGTCAGGGATGGGTGAGGTTAGCTTGAGTGAGGGTTGGGAAAGAGAGATGTTTTGAGAAATGCCTTTACTATCTTCTGCTAGAGAGAAGAAACCCAAACCAGCTGAGCACTGTCACCTCTGCCAACACAAACAGCAGGAGGTCAGGTGGGTGGATGGAAGGGCAGGGGCATGAAGGCAGGTAGGGGGAGAGTGGAGAGCTCTGTCCCCTGTGTCCCTGGGCAGCAACTCTGCTCCATCCCCTCTCCTCATCCCCCAACCCAGCAACTCCCACCCCCCAGCACCATCAGACCAGACATTTTGCAGAAAATACAATGGAGGGTACAGTTTAGCCCAGAGGCAGGCCTGTGGCCTCAGAATCATAATTTTGCATTTGCTACACTTTGTTTTAAGATCCAAGGAATGATTGCCCTTTGTTTTGATTTTTTTGAGATCTCTTAGCCCCTTAACCTAAAGTCCCCCCCACCAAGCCTCCCTAATGGGGCTGGGCTGATGCTGGAAGACAGAGAGAGAAGGGAGACAAAAATCAGAGATTCAAGAGCCTGGCGGGTGGGTGGGGTAAGCAGGGGGAGCCTCCATCCTTGCTGGATAAAAAAAGGATCTTTGCATCACCCTAGACCTTTCTGCTTTCAACTGCCTCACAAAAGAACAGGTACGAAGTACTTTAAAAATGTTGAAAGTGCCATGCCCAGTCTACCTCCTGGGAGGAAATTGAGAGTAAAGCCTTATATTTGCACAGCCTCCCCTGTGTAGAGAACATCAGATTGCACATCAGCTTATTTTCCAGGGCGCTGGGAGGCAGAGGCCGCAGGTGATTTTACCCCCCACCGACAGAGAGAAAACTGGGACTCCGACCGCGGGGATGACCTGTCCAAGTTACACAACAACCAGATGGTGAGCTGAGAGCGGAGTTGGGTCCTCTGATTCCTGGTCCACTCCTCTCCGTGAGCTTCTGACGTTGGAGAGCGTGTGCGGATTATTTTGATGGGATCCCATTCTAGAACAACTCGAACTTGATTATTTAATGGCAGAAGACCCTAATCCCACTGTTTTCCACCTGTCCCAAGGCCCTGGATTGTCCATTTAACCCTATTTCTGAAGAGGCAAAACAATGCCCAGCCAAGGGATTTTGCGACACGAAAGCCTCAAAGCGCAAAGCCCTGAACTCCCGTGGCCCAGCCCGGCTGCCCCACATTGAGGTGTCCCTTCCCGGGGGCCCCTGGCTCTGCATGGAGCTGGCCAGAAGCCGAGGAGCAGCCACGGGGACAGAGCTTCCCCAGAGGAGGACAGATGGGCAGGCTGGCCCCAGCGCCAGTGCTTTGAACAACCTTTTTGTTTTCCAGCCAAACATCCAGTCTCAGTTCTCTGCCACCTCCCCCAACTCCCTGGCAGCCTCCCACCCCCAGCCTCGCCAACGTGTGCGTGTGTCTTTGGGCTGGCTCTGAGGAGCGGGTGGGCTCTGGAGGGATGGCGGCTGTTCTTTATGACCCAGAGCTGATGAAAGAAGGCTGGCAACTGTTGCCATCTGTCTGGTGGGACGTCATCAGGGACATTCTCGCCCATTCACTCCTTCACGCACTGCTGGGCTCAGGCCTTTGTTTGGTTGGCTGGCCCTGGGGCGGGGGTGGGGTGGGGGGGCCTTCTCTAGGGCAGTTGAGGGAGGCAGCTGGTGAAAGAAGCAGCTTCTTTGTGTCTGGACCAAACTTTCAGTGACTCACTAAGATAATTTGCATGAGGACTCTGCCCAAGGCCCAAACCGCTCAAGTGACTGACCGCCTCCAGCCCTCTCCCCATTTCACACCCCTCCACCTCCCCTCTTCTGCCTATAGCTCCCTGGGGTAGGAGAACATGACCCCCAGCTCCTCTGCAGGGCTGGGGAGCTGGAAAAGCCACTCTGGTTCTCTCTCTCCACCCTCTGTCCCCATCCCTTTCCCAGTTCCTTATGGGTCTGGTGTCTTCCTCTTTCCCCACCCCCATCCATCCCTTAGAGTTCCTCCCGGCCTGGCAGAGAGGCCAGAGCAGGAGAAAAGGCCCATTAGCTGTGCTGCAGCTGAGCAGGAAAAGAAAGGAGCTGAATAGAGCCAGTGGGGTTGGCAGCCCTCCAAGCCAGCTCCTGGTCTTTGAATAACACCCCAGGCCAGGGTCTGGGATCAGAGTGGAGTGGGGGAGGCTTTGGGGCATTTAATTATTTAAAGGTCTCAATAAAAGGAGTTAAGTCCCTGGGGAAGGGGGAGGCTAGGCAGATGGTGTGGCCAAGGATCTGGGAATCCGGTGCTGGTGAGCCAAGATGGGGGTGGGGGAGGTAGGGAGTGCTGTGCCAGAGGTCAAAGCTCAGGCTGTACGAGGGCTGGAGGACGTGAGTCGTGAGTCGGGGATTGCTCTTCAGACCCCAGCAGTGGCCCACAAGTAGCTTTTCTCTACACCAGGTGGGAGCAGGGGCTCAGCCTTTCTTTCCCGAACTCCTGCCCGCCCCCACCCTGGCCAACCTCAAAGTTCATATCTGCCCTAAGTGAGGTCCAAAGCTGGAAAGTGTGGGGATCACCCCTTTACCTCTCTACTGGTACTTAGGGATGGTTCAGATCGATTCAACAGCAGTGATCAGGGCTGGGCAGATGGATGGCAGGATTTTCCCTTCACTCATCCCTCCCTCCCTCCCTCCCTCCCTCCCTTTTTCCCTCCCTTTCTCCTTTCCTTCCCTTCCCTTCTCTTCCTTTCTTTTCCTTTCCTTCTCTTCCCTTCCCTTCTTTCTTCTTCATGGTAAAATTCATATATCATAAAATTTGCCATTTTATCTGGTTTCATTCTATATGGTGAGACCATACAGTGAGTCTGTGAAAGTACTGATGAGGCAAATAATTGGAGTTCCTGCTCTTGGGGGCAAACCCAATCACAGACATTTTCTCTGACAACATTGCAGTAAGGGCTCCATCATGAAGATCAAGGTCAGATGGGGCCCCTAGGTGGAAACATACTACCTAGGTTCCAATCTGGCGTTGCCATTTACTAGTTCTATAACCACAGGCAAGGGACTTCTCAATGCCTCAGTTTTCTCATCTTTAAAATGAGCATAAAATATAGTGCCCATTCTGTGTTGTTGAGGGGATTAATACATGAGAAGAGCTTAGAAGAGTTCTTGGATCTTAGTAAGCACAAAGTTTTATTAAATATTAATATTACCCTTTCCAGCCCAGAAGGACTTTATGTACGTTACACAATGGAAACCGAGAGAAACAGGGCATTTGGGAATTGGAACAGGGCATCTGGGAATTGGGTATGAGGCCAAAGGAGAATTTGGCGAGGACAACAATTTACTTCCCCTTTCTCCCATTTGTAACGAGCTGTGGTTGGAAATACGGCCATAGTGCGGCTCCGTAACCCCCTTTCCCACCTGCACCCCTCTTCCACCTTCCTCAGGCTGAGCCAACAGCTGTAGGTCCTCAGGCTCCGAGACCTTCTGGTCCAGACCCTTGCTTTATGGCATTTGGGGCATTACCGTTAGTCCCATTTTACCGGTGGAATAACCAATCCAAAAGGTTAGGGCGCTTGAGATTTGATTCTTTTGCTTCCTGGGGCTTTTGTCACTCTCCTTAGCCCCTCCCAGACTGCAAGGTCACCGGGCATGAGGCGGTCACTGTGGGACACACACCACAAGACATCCTCTTTGTTAGCACGGCTTCATGTCTTCCCTCGCCCTGCCTGGTGGGGTGTGTTTTCCGCACCTGCCAGCGGAGGCAGTTCTCTCGTCCTCAACCTGTCTGGGGGGCAGTGGCGATGTCTTTCAGCCTGGGACAGCGGAGGATCCCACCCGGGACCGCCTGGAATCAGAGCTGCCTGGCGAGGGTGGAGAGAGGGCAGGCTGCGGGGGTGAGGGCAAGCAGGTGTCTGGCTCCCTCCCTCCCGGATATGGGCCGAGGGAGGAGCCCTGGGGCACCCACCCAAGTCCCTCAATCCTCCACGGAGCAGCTGGCTGGACCTTGAAACTTGACCAAACGCGCTCGCTTCGGTTCTCAGAGCTTGGCTACAGCGCCCGCGCTCGGGCGTCCTCTCGCTCTGGGAAGCCCCACCTTGGTAACAGGCTGCTGATTGGCTGGCGGGGCAGCAGAGCGGGCCAATCAAAGTCTTCCCTGACGCGGGAGGTTCAGCCGAGAAGT